AGCAGCCATGGGTACACGGGAGGACAACCTTATATAAATTTGATATGTAGAAATGAACCCAGCAGTTGCTGTCCAACATTGCAGGCAAGTCGCATTTAACATAGTTCCATTCTCTTTATTGGAATTAGTTTATGAGCTATCTACCTTTTGCTTATTGTTTTTCTACAATCAAGCAAGCGTGCTATTTTTTACAAATACTTTCTTTAAAATTTGCGACCGATTTGAATTCTGTTGAAAAATTATTATTAGGTTTTTTTTTTAATTGTTATTTCAATGAATTATTTTTTAGGGTTCGTCGACCTATGAAGCTATATATGAGCCAATAATTCCTCGACCTGCCGGTGAATTTTCATCACAGGCTAACTACTTAAATTACGTTCCATATGTCAACCACTCACAACTGAACAAGAGTGAAAGTGGAGGAAACCTTTCAACTATTGGATCGAATGCCGGCGAATGTAACACGCCATCATATCCAAGCCTAGATGATAATATTTCTAATCTGAGTTTGAAAAGTCCTATTCATCGAAAAGAAGTAGTAGTAAATGCATTGCCTGACTTTTTGGTACAGTCATTTGATTCTGAAAGCGGTGTGGAAAATTATGGTTAGTATCATACATCTAAGCTCAAATTAATTTATTGAAAGATGCCTCAAGTACACATTTTTCAAAATGTATCGGTTGCTTTCATATTCTTTGTAATTTTCACCAACAAACGAAAAGATATGGCTAATTATTTTCTACATTACAGGAACTTGTTTTAAATGTAATGAACGTGTGTTGGGAGAAAATTCCGGTTGCACAGCTATGGAACAAATTTATCACATCTCGTGTTTCACCTGTTCACAATGTCAAGTAAATTTACAGGGTAAACCATTTTATGCTTTTGATGGAAAACCTTTTTGCGAGCATGATTACTTGCAAACTTTGGAAAAATGCTCCGTTTGTATGAAGCCGATTTTGGAACGCATTCTCCGTGCAACCGGTAAACCTTATCATCCGCAATGTTTCACCTGTGTAATTTGTGGAAAGAGTCTTGATAGTATTCCATTTACTGTAGACGCAACGAATCAAAATTATTGTATTGCAGACAGGGCCGCCGAGAGAAAATCGGGGCCCGGGGATAATTCAAATGCGGGCCCCCAACATGATCTAACAAATATGTTTATTTGTACTTACACTGCAAATCAACGAGTTGGGGATTAAGATAGAATAGATCTTGAATAATAATGAAAATGAATGAGTTATCGAACAATTTTTGTTTAAACAATTTTATTACCTTAGTTTGCATCACAATAGTATTTTAATAGGTAGCAACCCTCAAAAATATGCCTTCCTTGCTTTAGCTGATGCAAATTCCTCAATGATAATACCGTAGTCAAGTTTTCTACCTAATTGAGATTCCAAACATAACGTTGCCAGTCCTGAGACTCGAGATTGGCTTGAACAAGAAGGATGATAGTTCTTTATTCTTGAAAGTGCGCTAAATGATCGCTCGGCGCTAGCGACTGAGACTGGCAACGTGCAAAACATCCGCAGAGCAATGCAGATGTTTGGGAACAGTGTATCTAAATTTTTGGTGGTGATAGCATTCAACAAATCGAATGGAGACAAATGAGTTGTACTACTCTCAGCAAAATTAGCCTGATAAATGTTTTTTAAGTGAATGATTTCGCACGATATTTCGATTGACACATTTTCAGCAAAACGTAGCGCAGCAATCTGAACTTCTTCTACTTCCATTTTCGGAAACAACCACTAGAATGAAAACATGTTGTTGATTGCTTTTATTGAGGCAAATCTGCTCCTTATTCCCTCAATGATTGAATCCATGATAACGAAGAAAGTGTTACGTTTGAAATCAGTTTCTTCATCAGTATAATCTTCATCTGAATTTTCGGGTGCAACTTCCACTCGTTTCTTTTTACGACTCACTGAGAATGTTCGGACACTGTTCGACATTCTTTTAGGATAGCGTTGCACTGGTCGCGTAAGATCTGCAGATTATCTAAGAGACTTTCGAGATTTTTGACTTCAGCATCTATTGTGGCTTTTTTCTTTTGCAGAACCAAACTAACGCCATTGATTGCTGTAAGAATCTTTAACCATATCGATGACATTAGGACACATTCAAATTTGCTAATATATTTTAAAACTCCATCAACATCCTGTCTAGTCCCAGCAGAAAGATTCAGTTTTCTTACTTCTTCTAAAGCGTTTTTTAGTCTGGGTAAATTTTTGGTAAAAGACCTAACAGCGTCAATCCTAGCAGACCATCTTGTATCTGATAAACTATGAAGAGGGTTAGGTATGTTATTTTTTAGGATTCCCCATCGCTGTGTACTGCTGCTAAATATGTTGTAACATTTTTGAACAACTCCGAAAAAGGTGATAGCCTTAGTACAGCATTCAGCGGTATCCCCTCCAGCTAAATTAAGTGTGTGAGGTCCACATGGCCCGTAATCTGCATATGGATTTTGATTTAAAAGTCGACTCTGAGCACCTTTTCATTCCGCACACATGTTTCTCCCATTATCATAAGCTTGTCCACGACATTCAGCTAATGGGATATCATACATTTATTCAGAGTATGACAAATTCAAGCAGCAAAAAATTCGCCAGTTTTACCGTGGCAATCGACAAAAGCTAGAAAACGTTCTTCAATCTGATGAGTTTTCTCATTGGGTTGAAGCCGCACATACCTCAAAATGAATGTCGTTTGCTCCAAATGACTAGAATCAGGAGTCGCGTCAACCATTATCGTGTAGTATTTAGCTTCTACTCGTTCTCTTATTAATGCTCTTATAACATGTTGTGCACACGTCATAGATATTCTAGAAGCAAATTATTCTATATACGAAAATGAAAACACCGGGCCCCTTGCAATCTACGGGCCCGGGGGAAAAGTCCCCAATACCTCTCCCCTCTCGTTGGGCCTGATCGCAGATTTTCACTAGTAAGTAATCACTGATGAAAGTCACAGCAAGTTGTTTAACATTGTTTGTTGTTTTATTTTTGCTTTTCAGATATATTGTAATTCAACAATGATGTAGTTAAACATACCTTAAAGCCATGAACCAAAAAAAAAAGCTAATATCATTTTTCTTATAACCCCCTGAGGGGACAAAGATTAGATTAGATTTTCAGTGATAATGATTGCAATTTAAAAATGAGTTTGTACGATAACTGAATATTGTACAGTTTATTGGATTCTTAATGATTTAAATCAAAACATCTTGCTCTTGCTAAACAGTTCTTTTTCCTTTCAAATGCGACATTCATTTTATTTTGTGAAGATCGCCTTTTCCCGAAGCTTTAGAGTGTGCTACCTTCATTATCGGCGTAGCAACAACCCTGCTTGGCAATGTTTTGCCTGCCAATTGGATAATACTGCTTTAAAGAAATCTAAAATCGGCATTCAATGTGTAAAATCATGAATATATAATATTATATTATATTTATATGCATTTCTTAACTTCCAATTCCTCAGACGATGATAACACTGTTAAATTGAATCACTGATATAAATCCATTAAACTTAATAGAATTACTTTTTTTATTATAAATTATAAAGCGAAAGGCCTATTCGTTTATAAGAATTTTTTTTTTTTTTATACAACAAAGGACAATAGTAAATGGTTCAAGTGACCTCTCAAAGTAGAATAACTTTTACTTCAAAATTACTGGAACGGAATCGACGAAACCACAATTTTGCACGATTGCCTGTTGCAGTATCATGATGTTCCAATTCATGCACACTATTCACATTTTTAGCTCCCAGACCTCCGTATTTATCTCTATGGAATGGAATATAACGTATTTTGTCTTGCTGGTGCGCTCAAACACTACTGAGCTAAGTGATCAATACTTCTCAAATTTTCCTTTTTTTCATTACAAAATCAGCTTTCTATCGCTTTATAGAGTTGTTCAATCGTACTTATAGGACGCGAAATACAGATCACTGAATCCAACTTATGTGAAAATAATAGATTATCTTGTACTCATGTAGATATATATATACATTTATATGTATATAGAATTAATACTTTGTGACCGCTGAAGCTATTTTCTGCCAAACAAACCATTGGAGGGACGAAAATATTTTTATGAGAAGCTTTTCTTTCATGTCGTAAAACACTCGAAGGTCTTCGCATTCCCTGCCGAGGGTGATTGCAAAATAAATTTTCTATTATTTTCGATATTGGGTGAGACCAGTACTCAAACATCCGCCTTCCCAATAGCAATGGAAACTGAGAATTAGCAACAGTTTAGCAAAAGTAAAGCTGTTGCATTACTGCGGCAGCCATTGAGTTATTCACACAAGCTCTTTATCTTCTTTTAGTAAAGGTTATTATACTTGGCTTACTAACTGTAATATTCCAATTTATAGGAAAACTACTAAAAAAATCGAATTAAATCTTGTGGTTTTCAGAATATTTGCTCCACGTTGTTGCGTTTGTATGGAGCCCATAATGCCGAAATCTGGTGAGGAGGAAACAGTACGAGTAGTAGCATTGGATCGTGGTTTCTATTTTGAATGTTTATTTATTTATTTATTTATTTGAGTGAAATATAATTATTAATAATTACATTACATAGAAGGCAACTAGCAGCTTGGGCTATCGGCCTGACTTATTCCTAATAGATTTTATAAAAAAGTTTATAAAGTACCCTTAGAAATAGTATCTACAATAACTTAAATCTGGTGTAAAAGGTTACATTGATATATGAATTTATATAATTTGTTTACATTATTTGCAGTTAAATTTTTTAAGAGATCAGTAGGCTTTTTATTATGAAAAATATTTATTCTTATGTATCTAAATTTTAAGCAGTCATCGATGATGTGTTTAATGGACAGAGGGCTATTACAAGTTAGGCATGAAGGAGCAGGCTCCTTTCTCAGCAGGTGCTCGTGTGTGATCTTCGTGTGCNTCCATTAAACTTAATAGAATTACTTTTTTTATTATAAATTATAAAGCGAAAGGCCTATTCGTTTATAAGAATTTTTTTTTTTGTTATACAACAAAGGACAATAGTAAATGGTTCAATTGACTTCTCGATTTGCTTACGTTTTTTGTAAGTACATCATTTTTATTAAAGTATTTATAACATATATTATAAATACTTTTTATTTGTAAACAAAAATGTAACCATATGATCAGCATGAGTTTCCAACTTCCCTTCCAGCTAAATGTTAAAATTATTATCTGTTATGCCGAGTTTTACCGTAGTTTTGTCCTAAAATTGAAGCAGCAGCTTAGGACCGGCCGGCCAATTGCTGCTGACAGATTCAGGAGTGACCGCCTTAAGCATAAAAATCTATGTCGTTGCGGTATAAATACTCGATGGTCGCGCGAACTTTCGAATTTTAGTCGCTTCTTACAAATGGCATGCTTTACCGCGAAAAAATTCTTTGATCACTACCTAGCTGGATGGGATAGGGCTATCATTTTTGATGTGTGTGGTCCTGCGTTGTTCTGGGCAATCGAAACGGATATACTTCGCCTTTCACACCGTGGAATAACTTTTAAATCAAAATTACTGGAACGGAATCGGCGAAACAACAATTTTGCACGATTGCCTGTTGCAGTATCGTGATTTTCCAGTTCATGCACACTATTCACATTTTTAGCTCCCAGACCTCCGTATTTATCTCTATGGAAGAAAAATCATGGAATATAACGTATTTTCTCTTGCTGGTGCGCTCAAACACTACTGAGCTAAGTGATCAATACTTCTCAAGTTTTCCTTTTTTTCATTACAAAATCAGCTTTCTATCGCTTTATAGAATTGTTCAATCGTACTTATAGGACGCGAAATACAGATCACTGAATCCAACTTATGTGAAAATAATAGATTATCTTGTACTCATGTAGATATATATATACATTTATATGTATATAGAATTAATACTTTGTGACCGCTGAAGCTATTTTCTGCCAAACAAACCATTGGAGGGACGAAAATATTTTTATGAGAAGCTTTTCTTTCATGTCGTAAAACACTCGAAGGTCTTCGCATTCCCTGCCGAGGGTGATTGCAAAATAAATTTTCTATTATTTTCGATATTGGGTGAGACCAGTACTCAAACATCCGCCTTCCCAATAGCAATGGAAACTGAGAATTAGCAACAGTTTAGCAAAAGTAAAGCTGTTGCATTACTGCGGCAGCCATTGAGTTATTCACACAAGCTCTTTATCTTCTTTTAGTAAAGGTTATTATACTTGGCTTACTAACTGTAATATTCCAATTTATAGGAAAACTACTAAAAAAATCGAATTAAATCTTGTGGTTTTCAGAATATTTGCTCCACGTTGTTGCGTTTGTATGGAGCCCATAATGCCGAAATCTGGTGAGGAGGAAACAGTACGAGTAGTAGCATTGGATCGTAGTTTCCATTTTGAATGCTATAAATGTGAAGTAAGATATATGCTAATATAGAGACCATTTCAAAACATTGATTGTATAATTAATTTAGGATTACGGCTTGTTTCTTTCAATCTGAAGCAGAAGGGCGAGGCCGTTACCCTCTAGATGGACACGTTCTTTGCAAGAGCTGCAACGCAAAGCGTGTGCAAACGTTAACTAGCCGAATGGCAATAGAGTTGTAATGAAAGTTATTTCTAAAGGGAGTTTTACATCGTTGTTTCACACAATTTACGTTTGCGATTGTTTAAAAATAATCTTACATTCCGCTCTTCCGCAATGTATTCGCGATAAGCTGTTATTTTCTTATTCAAGGATAGTTAAATCAGTATTAAAAACTATTTTATAATTTATGTCATATGATTAGATTAAAGGGAGAACTATTGCTAATTAACAGCTAAACAAAAGCACTCAAAATTTGCATGTTACCGTTCACAGGTTGTTGTTGCTAGTTACAACAACTGTAAAAATATTCCCGAAAGTAGTTTTTGGGGAATGTTGCGGGAGTAACAGTTTTGGCCGGACAAAAAATCCGGGTGGTTCCGGTATAAAAACCCGACTGTCGCGGAAACTATTGGATTTTTGTTGTCTGTTACGACAGGCGTGCCTTACACTGGGTAAATTATTGAAGCCTTCCCTAACCCGCTAGGGTAACCGTTCCCACGTCATCGGTATCACAGAGCAATTTGCTCGATATTCACCTTTTAGAACTATTACCACGCAGAGCAAAAATATTCTTCAGATCCATAAGCTGTGACCTTTTCTAAAGCGAATGATACCAAACTTATCTGCAGGGATCTGCATTATATAAATATTTCTTATATAAACTTATCTTTTCTGATTAAAATTTTTTAAAACCAAACTTTCTTATGGGAAAATGGTTTGTCGAATACTTTTAAAATTTTTTAGTAACCTTCAAATCAATTGTGATTTTGCGATCAAGGAAATTCAAATTCGCTTAGTGGGTCTTTTGTGATATCGGCATGCCTGGAGAGATCAATGAATAAATAGTTTTACCGATATTGTTAATTGCTTTTTAATTATGTTAAACCCAGTGATATCACGTAGATTAAATGAAATTATAACTTTTTATTCATTTCTCTACTTTGCTAACTGCAGACAGGGATTGCGAGCAGAGAGTGAAACAGCAAACAAAAGGTATATATTCATATTTTAGCACATTCTCTTGCGCAATTGTTGATATGCTGTGTGAAGAAGTTAATAGGGCTATTCCCTTGGCTTTGCACGTTGCAATGATTGCGTGGATTGTAAAAAATGCTATACTGAAATATGCTAGAGCTAGAATACTGTTGCGTATTTGATAGCAAATGGCACAGCTATTTTCAAGAGTAAACCTCTAGCTAATGAAGAGAAGTTTTGAATTTGTTATTTAAAATGCCGTGTACCCCCGAAAAATAAAATAATTGATTTTATTATGTGATCAGCTTCTTTGGATATTCTGTGTACGGATGATAAATCCTTACTAGATTTCTTAAGCTGATGTGCTGTTACGTGCATTTCCTTAGCCACGCTTCATTGCAAGAAAATAAACACGGGTCCAGGCGTAGAATATTTTGTAAATATTTCATAAAATGTTTAGCGTGTGTTTTTTTGTGGTATCTCGCGGATTGGAATTTTTTTGCAATCCATACAATCCTTGCACCGTGCCCTTTTTATGCAAGGTCAAGATAATACCCCTGATGTATTCATTGTAAAGTGTAACGAGTCCACCGAACGCGTTTTGAGACTGGATGCAGATGTTAAAAAACAAAAACGCGAAATGCAGAAAAGTTAAGCAACCATAAACTTACTGTCGACCAGAGGTGAGAACTTTCAGACAGATACTATTCATTTTAGTGTGCCATTTGTAGAGGAGGAGAATATCAAGAGTACTTTGAACTATGTCTTTGTCTCGCCATTATTGGAAGATTTTTTTAGGCGAGTGAGCGGGCTACCTTGCATACAAACTAGATACTCCCGTTACAATCCCAAACAGGATTCACAAATAATTTTATTAGCCTAAGCTCTTATATTACGGTAAGTCCGTGCCTATAAAACCCTTAAAAACTAAAACTATTCATGGATAGTGTTGATATGTTAGGATGCTTCTTGGATTCATAAACGAACCGTCGATATTTCAATGATGTGTTGACGTTAGTTTGCGTGACTATATCAGGAAAATTGCAAATTGTTTATATTGATAGCGTATTAATATATTCTTCCTCACCATAAGAACATATTGAGCACATACGAACTATAGTCAATGCACTTCATAATGTGAATATGAAAATATCAAACGAAAAATCAAATTTCGTTCAAAGCTCAGTAGAATATTTAGGGCACATAATTAAACAAAGAAAGAAAGAAAGAGTTTCTCTAACCTCGTATCCTGATGATTGTACGATAAAGGCGTCTGGCCAGGATGTTGACGANTACAATCACTTGCATAAACTTTCGCAATTTACTTTACTTAAATGTAATCTCCAACGCGTTTACTTAACGACTTTACTAATGTTATCGCGAACGAGTTCACTTTGTACCTGACTTGACTTGGCAGCTAGGTGTCGCCCTTATATAGCAGTCGGCTGTTCGTAGACGAAAGTGTTGAATAATCGAGTTATTCGCTATAGAAGGTTCTTGTTTCATCGTTCTAGAATGTACTAGTTATTGGCTTCTCTCTTTCATTTGACATTCGCCTCGCATTTTTACAACCCTGCCCTCAACCTAAGTCTGAACGTCCCGATCAGACACATTCGCTGTTCCAAACTCAGCAAGCCTCTCAAGGTGTTTCATCTTATTTCTTGGACTCCCAACGGTTTGGATTCGATACACTACGTCGTTTAGTCGTTTGATTATCTTGTATGGACCTTCCCAATTACATTGAAGTTTTGGGGACACACCCCTCTTCCGTTGTGGATTGTACAGCAACACCAAATCTCCATTTTGGAAACCTTCGGAGTTCATTGCCTTGTCATACCTGGCCTTCATTTTGTCACTGTTAACTTGAGTTCGCTGTCTCACAAGAGCGTGCACCTCTCTTAGCTCTTCCTCGAGATCGGTAGACGTTACCTTCCTAATTCTTCTCGCATCGCCTGTTATTCCTAATTTTAATTCGCTGGGCAACCTTAGTTCACTACCAAACAGTATCCTCGCAGGTGTTTGCCCTGTAGTTACATGCACGGCGGACCGATATCCCATCAAGGAAAGCGGTATATGCTCATCTCAATCGTCCTGATGCTTTTCCACTACTTTCCGCAAGTGCTCTTCCAGGGTCCGGTTGAATCGCTGTACCATACCATCTTATTGAGGATGTAGGGCTGTCGTTCGGGTTTTTCGAATACCAAGTATTGGCACATCTCCTGGAACACCGCCGATTTCAAGTTTCTTCCCTGATGCAATTCAATAGGCGCACCGTATCTGGTAACCCAATTGTTAGTGAATGCATCCGCAACTGTTTTTGCTTCTTGGTTTGGGATTGGGTAAACTTCAGGCCGATTACTGAAATAGTCTATAACCACGAGAACGCATTTGTTTCCTTGTTTGCTCATAGGGAACGGACCGGCTACATCCATGGCCACCCGCTCAAATGGTGCCCCTGCGTTATACTGCTTTATCTGCCCATGACTTCGGGACTTTGGGCCTTTAGCTGATATGCACTCCGCGCAAGTAGCAATCCACTCCTCGACCTATCGCCGACAGCCAACCCAATAGAACCGCTGCTTGATTTTTTCCAGCGTTTGTGTAATGCCTAGGTGCCCTCCACTAGGATCGTTATGGAATTCCTTTGGAACATCCGGAATTCTTAACTTCGGAACTACTATTAGCTTCCGGGAGCACTGGCCATCTTCATTTTCCCACACTCTATGCAAAGAGCCGGATATCAGCTCTAAACTGTTCCATTGTGCCCAGTATGCCTTCGCGATAGAACTTTCCGCAGCCATTTGTTCCTTACTTGGTCGTCTATTTACCTTCAATCCGTGCATTATTAACTCTAAATATGGATCTTCTTGCTGACATTTCCTTAAGCTACTTGCCTCACACTTTTCTGCTTGCTGAAAGTTGTTTTGCATTCGCGTGCGAAGTGGCCAGGCTTTCCACATTTAAAGCATTTTCCCGCTTGAGTTTTGAAACTAGAACGATTCATCTTTTATAGCGATTTCAGAATTCTCAATATTTCCGTCATCACATCTGGTGTTTCAACCTCCACTTTTTTGATTTTGTAAGATGGTCTGCTTATGAGTGCCGCCGTTTCACGTGTTTGTGCATACGCAACAGTTTCAGCGAATGTCAACTTTGGCTTCGCATATGTCCTGGCTTCCTGTGCATCCAACATTTTGTGAGATGCTGGCTCTCATTTCAGACATATTTTGTGAGATCGCAGTCAATAACATGTTCATGTCAATACCCTGAGATGAGCCAGGAGCCTTTCCTTGAATCTTACTTGATGGTGATTCCAACTTCTTCACAGAATCATCCGCCTCTTCCTTGTCAATGTCCTTCAAGGATAAATCTTCATCCTCGCGATGGAACTCGTACTGGTTCAGGTCGATGCCTTCAACTTCCATTGCTTCTCGCAGTTTCTATTGCAGCTCTGCCTTATTTCCAGTTTGTCGATAATCCTCGCTTTGCCAACTCCCTCTTGAGAGGAGGTATCGTAAATCCTGAATCTTTACCATTTTGCAAATATTATCCTTGGGATTCATTTAAAAATCCCACTTCTGACACCAATTGTTAAGATTTTGCTGAATCAACCTCGTTGATTTCCTGAATCCTTCGGGTACGACCTCTGGATTGTTAAGTAAAACTCGCCGACTTAATTTGCAGTTTCTTTCGTTATAAAGAATTTATCTAGTGTCCTTTATTTACTCAGTAATTCACATTTCAATAACAATTCACTTTACTAACTACAATCACTTGCTTAAACTTTCACAATCAACTTTACTTAAATGTAATTTCCAAAGCGTTTACTTTACGATTCAAATTGTTTATTCCGCTAAACTCAATGTTGTCGCAAATGAGTTCACTTTGTAACTGACCTGACTTGCAGCTGAGTGTCGCCCTTATGTAGCAGTCGGCTGTTCGTAGGCGAAAGTGTAGAATAATCGAGTTATTCGCTATAGAAGGTTCTCGTTTTATTGGTCAAGGATGTACTAGTTATCAGCTTTTCTCTTTCATCTGACATTCGCCTCGCATTTTCGCAACCACACTATAAAACCAAGGAGGAAAGAATTTCTAGTTTTAAAAATGTCTTCCTTACAGGAATAACAAACGCACCAATATTAGATGAAGAAATTTTATTTCCCTTAAGAGACAAAATAAGGGTTATTTTTCCTACATGTACATTCGTTATCGC